ACACATGGAAGGGGTCAGACTCTGGATAGGCATGTCACTGCCTAACCATGCAATGGCAGGAGCCATCCTCCCTGTCCCCACATCCTAGGTGAAAGGAGGCTAATGTCTCACAATGGAAGGAAGGAACATCAACTTATTTCAGTGTTTCCCCTACTGAAAACAGGGGAATCTGTCCCTGCCAGCCCCTTGGTACGCAGATCACCTCCCATCCTCACAAACAAACACCATTTCAAACCTGTCTTCTCATTTTATTTATTTATTTATTTATTTATTTATTTATTTATCTCAGGCTGGCTTTGAACTCACTAAGTAACCAAGAATGATCCTGAACTTCCAATCCCCTGCCTCCACAACTGTTATTACAAGCGTGCACCACCACAGTTTATATGGTGCTGGGGGATACAAACCAAGGCATTGTATATGTTAAGCAAACACTAGCAAGAGAGCTACCTCCCCAGACTCCACTCCCTTTATTGGGCTGGGAATCAAACCCATGCCTTTGTACATGCTAGGCAAACATTTGACCCCTGACCTACATCCCTGGCCTTCCTAGCTTCTCTCCAAAAATAGCATCAAGGGGGCTAGTGAGATACCTTAGCAATTAAGAACACTTGCTCTTCCAGAGGACCCAAATTCAATTCCCAGCACCCATATGGTGTCTCACAAACATCTATAACTCCAGTTCCAGGAATTCAAAGCTTTCTTCTGATTTCTGCAATCACACAGTGGTACACATGCATACATTAAAGACAAAACATACATACATACATACATACACACACACACACACACACACACACACACACACACACACACGGTAGCATAATGGATGAGCTCAAAATCCTGGTTTTGTGTTTGGATGTAGCACCATCTGTGTGGCCCTGGGCCAAACTTACCCTCTCTGAACCCCACCTACTGAGAAGCTGTCCCTATCCTGAGGCTGTGTGGGACTGAAGAGAGTGAGCCAGCCATAGAGACATCCAAAAAAGTGCTATACAACCTTGTTGGAGAGTATGAAATGAGGTGGGGTTGAGGGAGGTGGGGCTAGTAGACTGCCATAGTGTGTGTGTGTGGGGGGGGGTCATACAGCCTTGGCTCAAAATCCCAGGTCACCCTTTATATAGCCCTATGCCTATGACTTAATTCTGTATTGTCACAATTGAAGTTCCCACGGATTTTCCTATTTAAAGAAGTCCATCATTCTTTTATGGTCATTTGTGGGGTCGTTAGGATGGAGTGGTCTGCCTGAGTCTGAGAATGTTAGGGGCTTGAGTTTTATAGGAACCTGACAGTTTCCTAAGGCCTGTAGGTTTGACAACTAGCAGGATGACCGAAGGTTGGGTATTAGCAAACAAGGTCCTCAGAGAGAAAGAGAAATGAATGAACGAACAAATGAATGAGACAATTTAAAGCTTCAGACAGAGTGAAAGAAGGAAAGTGGCCTCCTAAAGTGTGAAGGATAAAGGAGCTGTTGGTAAAAGTAGCTCGCTGCCCTCACAGAGCAAAAAGCAAAAAGCCAGACGGGTTCAGAAAAACGCTCATTTGGGGCACTGCTATTATTATTATTACCTTTATCATGGTGAGTTTTGGTTTCCCCACATGCTAGCTCTTTGCACCCGGGTTTCCTCCTTTGCACACGCTCAAGCTGCGGGGTGCTGGGCCGCGCCCAGCACAACCTAGCCATTCCGGAGGGGCGCGCCCCAAACAAGTTTGCGCTTCGCGGCAGGCTCTGCAGCTAGTTGGGAGGGGCAGCGTCTCAGCGCGTTGGACTACATTGCCCACAATGCCTTTCGCGCCGCCATCTCAGCTGGTGGGCGGTGGTCGTCGGGGGTGCGGGCTATTGTAGGCCGGAGGGCCAACTCTACACGCCCCCACCCCGGGCTCCTCCTTGAGGGGCGTGAGACAGATCCATGTAGAGCGTCCCGGCACCTGGATAGTTCCTGGACGCCTTTGCACTCCCCCATTCCCGGAAGCCCGGTCCACGTGTCGGCCGGCGCGCGGAAGTCCCCTCGCCCCTTGCTGACCAAGGATCTTGCACGTTCCTCACCGGATCTGCGTCCACTCGGCCTTATTCCTAGACCGCCTCTGTTTCTGCCTCAGTGACAGAATAAGACAGGGTCAGAAAAAGACTGCAGTCCTGGCGGGCGTGCAGATCCAGGCACTCGGCACCTAGAAGTCTAGGTTTAAGGCCAGAGGTTAAATTACGGGGGGCCGACAGACAGGCCCGGTCCCTGTAAAGTAGATCCTCCCCTATCCCCTTTCAGGAGGCGGGGTTGGGGAGAGGGGCCTGAAGCGGGGCTGGCCCTTTAAGGGGGTGTGGTCGGGGGGCGGGGGAAGAAAGCAAGACAGAGAAAGCGGCGGCGCGGCGGCTCGGGCGGCGGCCGCGGGGGACAAAGGGCGGGCGGATCGGTGGGGAGGGGGCGGGGCGCGGCCAGGCCAGGCCCGGGGGCTCCGCATGCTGCAGCTGCCCCCGGGCGCCCCCGCCGCCGCCCTCGCCGCGGAGCCGCGCAGAGCGGAGTCCGCGAGCTAACCGGAGCCAGCGGCCCGGAGCCAGCCGGCGGGCGTCCGGGAGGCGGCGGCGCAGGGAGGGGCCCGAGCGCGCACGTGGCCCCGGCGGCCGCCATGGCGGACAGCGGCCCCGCGGGGGGCGCGGCGTTGGCTGCCCCGGCCCCCGGACCGGGCAGTGGGAGCACAGGGCCCCGCGTCTACTTCCAGAGTCCCCCTGGGGCCGCAGGCGAAGGCCCGGGGGGCGCGGATGATGATGGCCCGGTGAGACGGCAAGGGAAGGTCACCGTCAAGTACGACCGAAAGGAGCTACGGAAGCGCCTCAACCTGGAGGAGTGGATCTTAGAACAGCTCACTCGTCTCTACGACTGCCAGGTGTGCTCCCTACCCCGTGCCGATACCCTAAAATCGGACCTAAGTCGGTTTGCACAGAAACCCCACCGTCTGTCACCAGTCAGTGGGAGCCCCGCTGCCACGCCACTCGGCTTACACTCGCCTCTCCCCAGTGTGTGGTTTTTCTTGCCTGACCTGAGTCACTGGCTTTCACCGTTTCCTCGGACCTTGCGTCCTTCGTGGTACTGCCCCAGGTTAAGCTTGGTGTCCTCCCCAGTTCTAGAGGGATAGATAGCCTGGCTTGGGACTGGAGGTAGATATCTAGCCTGGGCTGACAGGAAAGGTCTAATCTGGTTAGTCTAGTCTGGGCTAGCGTAGACATTAGTTGAAAGGCACAAGTGTAACTGTCTCAAGTGTATAAAGGATCGGAGTTGCTCTAGTAGACTAACCGGCCATTCTGCTTATTCAGACGGTGACTCAGGCTCCCAGGGGTAGGGTGGAGGAGTGGGCTTGCCCTGAGATGCCTACCCTAGCCCAGCCCTGGAATGCAGCTGCCTCCAAGTGGGATAGCTGTTCCCTTGGGGAGGGGGGTGTACCCCTTTCTCTATAAAGCATGGGCTCTTTGTTTCCCCTTTATCAAGCACGGGTCTTTCCCATTGACCCCTCACCCTTCACTTCCTTCTCCCTCCCAGGAAGCTGTGACAGGTGTTTGGGGGAGGGGAGGGGACGGTGATGAACTGGGACAGCTGGCCCCACCAGTACTCTGGTAAGCTAGAGGTCATGGATACTGAGATGGCACATCTGTTGGGTTCAAAGCCCAAGATTCCCAGCCCTGTCTGTCTGGCGCCCCTGGTGCCCACTGTCAGGGACAGGAAGTTCCCCCTCATTGGGCAGTTTGCCTTGGCACAGACTTGATCTGTTTTCCCTTCCAGAGCAGCTGTCTTCCGCTGGGCAAGGAAGGCTTGTCTGGTTTTGAGTTAGGCAGGGAGTCCTTTCCACACCCTCTGTAGGCTGAGGTACTGTCCTTCTTTTCAACCTCTATCCCAGGAAGAGGAGATCCCAGAGCTGGAGATAGATGTGGATGAACTCTTGGACATGGAAAGTGATGATACCCGGGCTGCTAGAGTCAAGGTAAGCTGAAGGCTGCCTGGAGACATGTCCCTTAGAGAGGCTCAGCCTTGGTGCCACACCTTCTTTAGCTTGGGTCATCTTATGCCTCTGGAAAAAATGAGGCTCATGGAACTTAGCTATGTTCCTAAGTGGCCTAAGTCCCTTGGGAGGGTATAAGTGAACTGGGAGCCTCTGTCCCCAAAACTCACTATGTTTTCCCTCACCAGGAGCTGTTAGTTGACTGTTACAAACCCACTGAGGTAAGTCATTTTCCCTGGCCTTAGGGTGGGTATGTGTGGCAAATTATTGTCTTGGGTCTTAGCCTCCTAACAGCCTCCTCCTATCTAGGCCTTCATCTCCGGCCTGCTGGACAAGATCCGGGGCATGCAGAAGCTGAGCACACCCCAGAAGAAGTAGGGTCCTGACCCAGATGACCATGGCTCCCACAGGACAATCGCTGTCCCCCAACCTCGTAGCAACAGCAATACCGGGGACCCTGCAGCCAGGCCTGGTGCCACGAACAGGGATCCCTGTGCCTCTGCCTAGGGGCCACTTCCCTTGCCCTCAGTTTTCCATTTTTGGGGTTTTTTATTGTTATTAAACTGATGAGACTTTTTGTGTTTTTGTATTGATTCTGCGGCGCAGGCCCTTTAAAAATAAAGCTAGGATACACCTTTGGAGCAGCTAACAGGCTTGGCTGGTCTTTTATGGGGGACACATTGCTTTAGAATTGTCACCAGCTTAGCTACTCCCCAGGTGACCACAGGCCTTCAGGCCATGTTGCCATGGTGATATCCCTTGCTGGCTACCAGCAGTCTTAAAAAGTTTTCTATCTGCACTGGGTAAGGGTCTTCAGGCCATTGAGACCTTCAATGTCTACACTTCAAGGCTCTGCAATTATCAGGAAAGCTGAGACTGAAGAGGACTTTGTTTTCTCTTTCCCCATGTTGGGGATCAGGTGGGTGCTTACTCATTAATTAGACCAGTGCCCCATCCTGACCTGGCTGAAGCTAAGCTTCTGAGGATCCACAAAGAAACAACAGACTCAACTCTTGGGGTTTTAAAGGTTTTTTTTGTTTTGTTTGGAAGCAGTCTGGTCCCTGACAGGGGCTTCCTACCCCTCTGCAGCCTGCTACAGTTCTGAACGTCTCTCAATCTTGAGCAGCTCCACCTCAAACACCAGGGTTGCTCCACCTGCAGGGAGAAGTGTGGTTAGACTGGGGCTTGGGACTCTGGGAGAGCCAAGGGGCTGGGGTGTTAGGGGTATTACCTGGGATCTTTGGGGGAGCTCCCCGCTCTCCATACCCTGCCAAAAACACATAAAGACACAAAGTTAAGTTGTGGCCCTTCTAGCCCATATGAAGGATGATCTTGCCACAGGCAGGCAGAAATGGAGAAAGATGAGGGCACCATCCTTCTCTAGCTGGGTCATACTACAGCTGAATACAAGCCATACTTGAAATGGCATATATACTACAGTGACTAGATAGTGTGGGGACCAATGGGGCTCAAGAGACTTTATCCATTTTAGGCACCTCTAAGTGTACTCCCCCCCAATCCCCGTAACCCCAAGGACCTCTTACCCAGCTCAGATGGGATCACTAGCTTCCGCTTTTCTCCTTCACACATCCTGCAGGATGATACATGCTCAACACATGAGGCACTCAGACTCCCAGACCCTTCCCCCCACAAATGGGCCTTTCCTCCCACAGTTTATCTTCTGGATCACTACAACATGTACCCCAGACTCACCCAAGCAGCCCCTGGTCCCAGCCCTTGATGACCTGGCCAGTGCCGAGGGAGAAAACAAAGGGCTGGTTCTGTGGCAGACTGCTGTCAAACTCAGTCCCATCTTCTAGCTTCCCCTGTGGGACCATCGGAGAACTAGTAAGGAGAGGTGACCACTCCAGAGCCCCCTTCACCTAGCCACTCTCCACCCTATTAATATAGTCACCACAGCACTGGTGACTACATTCCTTAAAAGGGACAATGCCTTGGTAGTTAATGTACAATAATTTTAATGCTAACACCTAGCTGATGAGTAAACTGAAAGGCAAGGAGCTTAGAGGCCAAAGAGGGATGTGTTCAAGGTCATTACCTAATTGACAGAAGAATGAGATTCCCAGTCCTTTCTGGTCCCCAGAAACTGTCAGAGCCCCAGAACCTATACCCCAATACCTACCGTGTAATGCATATGTAAAACATCTCCCTTTCTAGACTTGATGGGACAGTGGTCCACGCGTTTCTTCACTCCAATCTGCAGCTTCCGCTTGCCTTCGGCCCCCGTGGCTGTGTTGAGGGCACTCAGGCAAATGGACAGTATTGTCAGGACCCAGCTCAGCCTCATGTCTCTGTAGGCACAGCCCACCTCCCTCAACCAAGGGGGAGGGTCGTGGAACTTCAGTCAGTATCTGGAGGATGTCACCCCCATTGTATCTCGCCTGTTCCCAGAGAATCCCACTATCACCACCCTCTCCCCTAGGCTCTGTGGCCACACTTACCAGTCCAGTGAGAAGGGGACTTGGCGGAGGACCCCAGCAGCGAAGGGAGGGGGTCAGGGGAGGCCACAGCAGCCAGGGCCCCGCCCCTTTATTCAATACCAGACCTTCCCTTCCTCCGGGTCCCCATCTCCATTCAGTTCCCGCCAGCCCCTTTACGCAAAGTCCAAACCCTATCTGGTTGCATCGGACTAGTCCCGACCGTGCGACCCCACTCCCGCCACACCCAGCTGCCTCCTGTCCAGCACACCCACACCTCTGCGGCTGCTGCAGGTGGCCGGCCCCGAGGCACCCACACATCTCCGCTAGGCGGCTCTGAGGAGTCCCGGTGCTCCGGAAGCACACCCCATCCCGGCCCCGTGTCCCCACCACCAGGGGCACCCCCCCAGCTCTGAGCTCTCGGGGGCCTCCGGGGAACCCAGACTGGGCCCGAGTCAGCGGGGCGCCGAGCCCGCTCCACCCACACAATCTCTCCAGGGGGAGTTCTGGGTCTACTACGACCCCAGGCGCGACCACCACGGAGACCGCCCCCACGTGGAAGACCCGGGCCATTACTCGGGCTTAGTTCTTCGCAACGCTTGTCGGCCCCGCCCTTCAGATCGTGTGGCTCCGCCCCCTGACCTGAAGCTCCGCCCTCGACAGTGCTCGGCCCTTTCTCCAGCACAGGTGGCACGCCACTCACAGGCTGAAGACCCGCTTCCAACTCCTGGTAGCCAACGGCCTTCGTCTCCGGACCCAAGGCTCCACCTTCCACCTCCTCTGGCTCCTCCTCTAAACGCCAGGCCCCGCTCCCCAGTCCTAGCCTCTCCACTGGCCGCTGGGCTCCGCTCTCTACACCCCCTAGTCCCGTGGTCCCTCCCACCGCCGTTCCGTGTCCCGCCCCGAGCCCCAGGGCTCCGCCCCGTACGGCATGAGAGCCCGCCCCCTGCGGCATTGCCAGACACTGAACCCCAGCCCCAATTCCCTGGTCTACTATCCCTTGCTGGCACGCGGATTCTGGCCCCCTTCTACCCGCCCTACCCCAGCCTGCCCTCCTGCACCCGAATCCCCCAGCCCGGGCTGTGGCCCCCCGCTCACCTCCTCACCGCGCCCCCGGAGCCAATCCCTCTCTCGTGCTGTCACCTCTGCGCAGGCGCGTCCTCGTCGCTACAAGGCGGGACACGCTGCCCGCCCTCATTGGACCGTCCGAAACCCGCTGCCTCACTCTCAGGGTGGGGCTTCTCGCCTAGCCCCACCTCCTGAATTACCTCGTGGACATCACTTCCGGCACCCAGGTCTCCTGTCTGGCTTAATAAAAGTGATTTTTGAAAGACAGAAGGCGCTTCTGGCCAAGGTGATATGGTCAAGCAAAAATAAATACCTTTTCCCCGAGGGGTTCTTGCCAGCACCGTGCTGACATTTTTTTTTTTTTTTTGGTTTCTCGAGACAGGGTTTCTCTATGGCTTTGGAAGCTGTCTTGGAACTACCTCTTTGTAGACCAGGCTGGTCTCAAACTCATAGTTCCCGCCTGCCTCTGCCTCCTGAGTGCCGGGATTAAAGGCATAGGCCATCACCACCCAGCTACCGTACTGACTTATTTTGTCTTCATGACCCACACACCTTTAGCTAGTTGCTGTGGGAAGAGCCCAGGTTTCAGGGCGATACTTCCGGTTTGAATCCTAGGTCTTCCACTTGGCTGGCTGCGTGACCTTGAGCAAGTTAGTTCTCCTGGTGGTGTTCTGTGACACCCATCCCACAGGGTCCTGACCTATGCGGACCCCTTTCATCTTGTGGAATGCAGCATCCAGGCTCACCTTTGGTTGTTGCACACTGAACAGTCAGGCCTGCGGTGGCCTTGCTGGGGCTGGTCTACCAATACCAGTACACATTTGTCAACAGAAGGACCCTAAAATTCAGAGGAAGCCATATCTGAATTAGGTTAGGGAGTGGAGTTGAGTGAGTTCATACCTGTCCCAGGCCAGTTTGCCTTACTAAGATCATGTGTTCAAAAGCCAAAGGAAGATAACCATGAAGCTGAGTTGAAGGAAGGAAGCATCCTGCATATCTGATGAAGCTTAGTGGGCTCAGAGGTTTTAGCGCTCAGGTTCTAAACGTCATGGAGCCAGAACATGACCACCAATATCACCGCTGAGAAAGTTATTTAAACATAATAAAAATAGTGTGATGTCCCATGCCTTTGGAGGTGGAAATAGGAAGGTCAGAAGTTCTCTGAGCCAGCCTGGGATACATGAGACATTGCCTCAGAAAAAATAAAAGTAAAAGTATCACCAGAGCTGGAGATGTAGCTAAGTATTCAGGAATAGGTAGGTTTGATTTCCAGCAGTACATAAGCCTGTGTAGTGGTGTAAAACTGTAGTTCTGGTATTTGAGAAGTAGATGCAGGAAGATTAGAAATTGATGTTATCCTTAGCTACATAAGAAGTTTGAGGCCTGTCTGGGCTATGTGAGACTCTTTCATAAATGCATAAAGTATGTAGCCATCATCATCAGGAATTCTTCAGTTTACCTTACTCCTGCTTTGGTACCACCAAGATCATGACCCTTCTTTAGGGTAGCTTCTTTCAGTCAATTCTGTTACTGAATGTCTTGTAGTAGCGCAAAACCTTGGTGTCTAGGCTGGGCTTCCCGCTCTATCCGGGACAGTGGAGAAAGGTGGACACTGAGCTTAAGTGGGATAGTTAGGAATATCAAGCAACAACTAATGAACCCTGGGGTACTAGGGATTGTACAGGTGGAGGAGACTTGTGGGGAAGGTTCTTTTGTTTTTTTCTGGGACAGGGTTTCTCTGTGTAGCTTTTAGAACCTACTCTGGAACTCACTCTGTAGGCCAGGCTAGCCTGGAACTTACAGAGATCCTCTTGCCTCTGCCTCCCGAGTGCTGGGATCAAAGGCATGTGCCACCAACGCCCAGCAAAATCTTCCTTTATAAATGTATTTATTATGTGTACAGTATTCTGGCTGCATGTATGTCTGAATGCCAGAAGAGGGCATCAGATCCCATTACAAATAGTTGTGAGCCACCATGTGATTGCTGGGAAATGAACTCAGGACTTCTGGAAAAGCAGCCAGTGCTCTTAATTTCTGAGCCATCTCTCCAGTTCAGGAGGGTGGTTGGTTGGGGGAGGTCTTAAAAGAGGCCTTCCAGCCACAAAGGCAGGACTCTGAAATGAAAAGAGAACAACACTGTAAGGTGTGCCCAGCAGGGAAAATGGGAGTTACCTCCTATTGTGTGAAGAAAGTCATACTTGTCTGGAGCCCAAAGGGTTCCAATGGTGGCAGCCATCTGTTCTTCCTATGTGAATATGGGGAACAATTTGTAAGGTCTGGGTCCTAGCTTAATTTCCCTGGCAAGGGCAGACAGAATCTTTGTGGTAGGTAGGGGGCAGAGACTTCATGTAACATACTTGATGAATCTGTGGTTGTGGCTTTGCCTGGGAACTGTTGGCCAGCCTGGAAAGTGGCAAACAATGACATAAGTAAGCAGTGATAGTGCCTTCCATCTCTTTTATCAGGGTGTGGGGGATGTCACAGTTATAACAGAGCCAAATCCCATTTGCAGAGGTTTGGGGTCTTCACAGTGAGGGGAAGCAGAGCAGCCAGAAGATGCTCACCAGCCTGGGGTGGTTAGCTAAGCTAGTACCCTGTTCCCCCTAAGGGGAGATATGAGGTTCTTTGCCAACTATTAGATGGCAGTGCTAGGAGAGTTCTCTAAAAGTCCAGGTCCTGGGATAGCTTCCTTCCAGTCTGAGTTGGTTCTTGTATGCTCCTGTCTTCTCCCACTAAGATGGGGCCTGTGAGGCAAATGGCCCTGCAGAGTCAGTCTGAAAAACAACTTGTCACTTTCGAGGCTTCCGACACCTGGGGAATGGAGGAAGAGATGTTTGTGTGGGCTAGAGCCTAACTCCGAGCTCTTCTTTTATATTTGTTCTTTTTTATTTTATTTTTTTATTTATTTAATTTTGGTTTCTACAGAGAGACAGGGTTTCTCTGTAGCTTTCGAGGCTGTCCTAGAACTAGCTCTTCTAGACCAAGTGGTCTCAGACTCACAGAGATCCTCTGGCCTCTGCCTCCCAAGTGCTAGGATTAAAGGTGTGCGCCACCACTGCCTGGCTCATTTTTATTTTTTTTAAATTTTGTTAAATGTACTGGAGAGATGGCTCAGTGGTTAAAAGCACTGGGTGTTCCTCCAGAGGACTCAGTTTAGTGCCCAGCTCCCACATGGCAGCTCACAACTGTCTGTAACCCCAGTTCTAGAGGACCTGACACCCTCACACAGACATACATGAAGGCTGGGAGTGGTGGTATAAGTGTTTTATGTAATTATGGCTTAATCATCCTGGTGTAATGGTGCACACCTTTGATCCCAGCACATAGGAGGAAGAGGCAGGCAGACGTATGAGTTCAAGGCCAGCCTGGTCTACAGAGCAAGATGCAGGACAGCCAAAGCTATGTAGAGAGACACTGTCTCAGAAACAAAATAAGCAAGAAAGTATTTTGCTATTTTTATTTATGTGTATATGTCTGACTGTATAAGCACATGTGTACAAGTGCCCACAGAGGCCAGAAGCCGGAGCTGGAGGCAGCTGCAGCTGGAGTTGCAGCCCTTAACCAATTGTGTTCTGGATCTGTACTCAGTCTTCTGCAGGAGTAACAGCCACTGAGCCATCTCTCTCCACCCCCTCCTCTTTTTATCTTTGGAGACAGGGTCACTAAGTGTGAAGCTAACTGATTTTAATATGATGGTTGATGTTCCTTTTGTCTCTGCCTGGCCTTCTAACATAGATTACAATGTGTCACTCCTACCTTTCTTCCTGGGAGTTAGGGATCCAGATTCAGGTCTTCATGCTTAAATGGTAGACATTTTACCAGCTGAGCCATCCTCCCATCCCTATTTATTTACCTATTTACTTGAGACTTTTTTGGTTTGTTTTTGAGACAGGGTTTTTTGAGTAGCCCTGGGTGTCCTGGAACTCACTTTGTAGACCAGGATCGCCTGGAACTTGGAGATCCTCCTGCTTCTGCCTCCCAAGTGCTGGGATTAAAGGTGTGCACTACCACAGACTGGATGATACCTTTTAATTATGTATGTGAGTGATTTTCTTGCATGCATTTATGTGCACTGCATATATGCCTGGTATCTTCAAAAGAGGGCATTGGATGTCGTAGAACTGGAGCTATAGATGGTTATGAGCCACCACGTAGGTGTTGGAAATCAAGCCTGGATCCTCTGTAAGAGCAGAAGGTTCTCTTAAACATTGAGCTATCTCTCTCCATCCCCTATTTATTCAAGTGGGCCAAGCTAGCTTCAAACCTACTATGTCACAAGGAATGACCTTGAACTTTCAAGTGCTATCATGTGCTCAAGATCAAACTCAAGGATTCTTCCATGCCAGACAAGCACTCTATGAAACTGAGCTACATGGGAGACAAGCACTCTGTCGACTCAGGTACATGTCAGACAAGCACTCTATGAACTCAGCTACATGTGAGACAAGCACTCTGTCAACTCATCTACATGCAAGTCAAGCACTCTATCTATGAACTCAGCTACATGGGAGATAAGCCTCTAGCTCCCGAGTGCTACAATTCCAGATGTGTATCACCATTATTTAGCCAAAGCTCCTTCTTGTGGATTTGTTTTTATTTTTTAAACAAGGTGACACCACCTTGCCTGGCTCCAGTCTTCTTATGCATTTCTTTTTCCTCTTTTTTTTTTTTTGTTTTGTTTTGTTTTTCTCAAGACAGGGTTTCTCTGTGTAACCTTGGCTCTTAGCTGTTCTGGAAATCACTCTGTAGACCAGGCTGGCCTTGAACTCAAGGAGATCTGCCTGCCTCTGCCTCCCAAAAGGAATTAAAGGTGTGCGCCACCACTGCCTGGACTCTTTCCCTTTGGAATCCCATTTTCTCCTGATACTCCAGGGGTCTCCAGAGCCTGACCCATATATCACCCCATGGCCTCACTATGGATCAGACAAGGGCTGTTTAAGCACTGTAAGCAGAAGCACATGGGGTTCCCATATTCCTTGCTCTCTCAAAGCCTATTGAATAGAGCAAATGTCTATCATAAGA